GACAAGTCGCTGCTGAGCTTATTAGGTCTTTTCTATATCATCATAAGGCACCTTACTTTTTCCATGTGCTAGAGACACTTCGCTGCCAGATGCAAGTTCTGAATATTGCTCGGGGTGGGGCATGTACCAAAAAGTTAGATGTTGCAGAATTCTGGGTGGTGGCTCCTAAGTTTCTTTTTGAATCTCGGCTGTAACCAATGTGAAGAATAGTGGTCTGACCATCAGAAGAACTCAGATCAAAAGAAGATCAATACTGGGCCTTCCTACGTATCTTTTGGACATGGTCTTAACTTCTCTTTTGAAAAAATAATTTTCTTAGCTTCACTGTATATTTAATAAGCAACACATAATCAGCTTTATTACACTAAAAATAACAGTCCATGGGCCAAACATTTTTGGGTGGCTATAGGATTCTACTGCACGACAAAGGTTACAGGAAGAGTAAGTACAGTGCTGGTACTATTCATAAGCTTGGGAAAAGCACAAAACTGTATCCTGGAAAAAAGGTCAGCCCTTTTCCCTTTTTATTTTCAAATTATTCCTCCACCTACCTTGTGGGACTTAGGGCAGGAAATAGAAACAATCACTAAATCAGGTATCTGAAGGGAGAAATCGGGGAAAAAACTGAAAGATAACCAGAAAAGACTGCACATTGAATGAAAACACAAATAATAATTTACCTTCTGAGGTTTATTTAATCCTTCACTCCTCCATCAAAGTTACCATTGCATTTCTCTAAAGTTTTGACCAAATAATGATTGCCAGTGGAAAATCTCATTGTAGACCGAACTGTCGCTGCAAGAACACTGCTCGTGGACCATTTTAACATTGCAAAGGCGTGTTTCACAAATGGACTCATTGAGCTTTTTTCATTTTAAAAACTGCTGGCAGGAGAAAAATTGTTCATACAGATCTGGCCTAAAGTTAGGTTAGTAAATGATAGAACTCATTCATTGACGTTACATATTTCTTAATCTGATAAGATACAGCAGCTCCTATTTTCCCGTGCATCAAACAGTATCAGGTCTTGCAGCTGTGCTTACCAAGAACTTCAAAACCAACAAATATTTTATCCTTGGCTAAACGTTCATTAGTTTTATTTCAATATTACAGTTCAAGTTGCATTATAGACAAAATAGGCAAAAAAATTCCAAACTTTTTAATTAACGATTTCGCAGGAGACTGATGAGCAGACGAGATTTTTCCAAAACAGGAACTACCCTTCTTAAAATAAATTTGAAAAATCATATCTTGAATTATTTTTATTAATTGTATATTTTCATACAATTAAATTCTACTAAAGAAAAGGAGACCTTGAGAAAACAGGATGCTGGTTGACCAAGAGTAGTAAAGGTAAGTAAAGGTCAGGCTGATTTCATAAAAGGAATCACATTTAGTTGCTTCTGAAACCTCTTTACTGAGGGAAACATCTGTTGGTGGACTGAGAACTCATCTACAAGAAGGATTAGATTTCACTGTAGAGATTCATGGTGCCATTTATTATCTCGTGATATACCATTTTCTAATCTGTGTAGTGTCATTTTAAAAACAGGCATCACAAATTCTGCTAAAAAAAGGTGTCAACGCTTATTAGCCTAGTAACTCAGTTCCTTCAACAGTGGGGAATAAATTAGGGGGTTGTCCGATGTGTTATTTGCGGGAAAAAGAGTCAGTGTGAGCTCACCTGCATTATTTTTTTCTAGAGAAATAATACTACCTCTGTTTTATGATTACAATACAGTCTTTCCAATAACACCATCCAAAGTTCAGTAAGCAACTTCAGTGCAGAATCCAGTGCACTAAATAGCAATAAGTTGTTCTGTCTCTCAGTATTTCTTCCTATTTTTAAGCCTTTTTTATTCTGAACTTTAACCACCTATATTTTACTAAGGGAAGGAAAAATAAAAGAGAATTACACTCTAGTATGCGCTAGGCTTGGGTATGTGGATTAAAAAGCATTAAAAGATGCCTTAAAGGTTGTTATAGACTTTACATTTTATGGCATTTTAATAGCAAGGCAAAAAGGTGTATTTTGATATCATCTTTCTGCATATTGATTACAGGCAAAAGTAGAGATTTCAAAGAGCTGAGAGCAGAGGCAATGCTATTATTTAGGACATACGCTGTATTTATTTCAAAACAGCCTGAAACTGGGTGGGGAGGGGACTGAAACAAGAACAGAATATGGTCAAGTTTAAATGTTCTGAATTGCAGATTTCAAGGCATTTTCAAAAGCAAGACCCATAAAAAGAAAATGCTTTTTTTTTTTTTTTTTTTAGGAAAGCGAACGGAAGAACATTTCTGCTTGGCTGAGGACAGGTAGGTATTCCTTCAGAACAAAAACAACACTTCTGATTAATGCAGAATCAAGAGAGTCAACCCCATATATGATATATGTAACAAGTTACATTTTTCTATTTAGCTTATCCATACCTTTCAATGAAATTACAAATGTGCAGCTAACAGACTGCATAGCTAATAGTCTGAACACAAGGCTTTTCTCCATGTGTGAATATGAAAGAAAACTATATGTGCCTAGAGAGGGTTACTGCTGCTTAGACCTCAGGCTCTGCAGGGCTGGGAAGCCCTATTTCTGAATGAACTCTGCCTTCCTTCTGCAGCCTTTCCTCCTTCATCGTGCGGTAGGAAATGCTAAAGGATGTGGACCTTTGAGTTTTCCTGCTTTTGTGGCTGTCATTTTCCTTTGAAGGGAGTAAGTCTGGATTCAGTGCTTCTTCAGATTAACCTTAGCTTTTCACAGCTAAAACTATGATGCCCTGAGACTCCCCAGCAGAGTTCCCGTCAGCCTCTCCAGTGCTGCAAATAAGTCCACCCTTACATAACTGAGGTGAAATGAAATCAATAACTGGTTATCCATGCTAAATAGTCACACGTGGGTGGACACTAATGTCATCACCGCAGACAGCGTGGCCCTCTGCCTGGAGGCTGGCATTCTGGAGAAGCAAGCATCTGCCTTGAGGGACTGCCTCAACTCAGGTAAACCAGAAGAGCATCACCACGTGGGGGACAGCCTCACATGAAAGAAGGTCAGTTCAAATTGCAATTTCTCTCTCATACATGTGGCATAGTAAACTTAAGGCTAACTCTTTCAGCTTGATCCTGGATGAGGGTAACACCTGCTTTCTGAAACTCAGCCCAAATCTAACATAAGGATTATGAGCAACAATTGCGGTAGCGCTGGGTTCTTGGGGATGTGCATATCTTGAGTGATCATGAGAATTACTTAGATATTTTTCATTCTAACTGATGCTTAACCACTTACATGCTTCTTCTAGAAAAGTACGTTAGGATTGATCATTTCTGTATGTGCTTGCAGGCCAGAAGTTCAATTTTCACAATGAGAAAAATGAGCATTTTTAGCTTCCAGCCTGGAGGGCGCACATGCATGGCAGACGCAGTGTCAGGCAGGTATACCGGAGCTTGGCAGTTGGAACCAGGCTGACTACTCAGAGCTCTGCATGGAAAAAAATTGCTTTTCTGAGCAGTTTAGAACTAAGGCAAAGCCTAGGAGGCAGAGAAATTTTCTGTTGAGCTAAAGCAATAAGCCCATTATGTAAATCTTCTTTGTTTTTCCCCCTACTTTAAGCTTCATGGTATATCTGCTGTCGTTCCTTGTTTGACTCCAGAATTACCTCATTATGCACAAGTGGCCTGTTTTTTTATTGGCATTAAGCACCCATAAATGTCACAGAAGCCTGCAGAGCTGGGGGTATGGGGTACCTTTGAAAAATTCAGATCAAATACTGTAATTAAGAGACTTTGCCGCTAGATGTCAGTGGGCAGAATACAGACTTTATAGTTAACACTGCGTTAATGAAGTCTTGCAAAAGGATAGTCTAATGTTCACCCTTCCTCCTGTCTTCCTTCTCTCCTGTAACATGTATGTATGTGTATACAAAAAGAAAAGCACCTAGGGAAGGCTGGGTTTTTTTGCTGTTGTCACTGTAGCCATACACAGATAAAAAGCAGAAGATCTAATGCCCTGTTAAGCTTAAGGTAACATATAAAAGATTGAGAGTTATCTAAAATTTGAAGTTGCCAAACAAACTGAATAGTAACAAGTTCCATGAGCTCTGGAACCAGTGAAGTCTAGTTTCCTATGGGCTTTACCTTATGGTTGACTGAAGCTTTTCCTATGCTAGAGCACTTCAAATTTTCTCTCTTTTGTGTAAAGGTAATCCCAGGGGACAGCTTTTCAGACTGAGGCACTTGTGATTTTTCTCCCTTCTCTCCAGACATCTATTTTTATTGTAGCTGAATACCTTTAAGACTATTAACCATCTCTGAGATTTCATTGAAATTAGCTGCGGGTGCAAAGCTATAAGGGCAACAGGACGCATAGACATTGTGGTTACATAAGACTTGCTTCCATAGGAAACTCAGCAAGGAAATGCAAGGACACTTTAATCTATTAAAGACTTAGATTAATGAGACCATTTTTTTTTATAGTATAGCTCTGCTAGAATTACTTACCCGAACTTGCACTGGCAATTTAAATGTTCCATTAAGAATTCTGATGATTCCTCGTTTTTCTACCAGATGATGAATTTATGGAATATGTTAAAATGTGCCTGATGAAACCCTAGTTCCTATGGTCACATACTAGTGGGTTATCTCACCCCTCTTTTTTTCTCCTTTCTTTACAAAACAGAGAGATGGTAGATAGCACGATATGCATCCTTTACACCAAATTTCCACATTCCTCTGGTACAGCAAAAGAGGCAGCATTCATAACAGTTAAGAGAAGAGTAGATTTGCCTACTATGTGTATGATGTAACTCCAGGCGATGTTTTTCAGAATTTCTACAATCACTTCAATAAGAGTTAGGTTAAACCCTCAGCATTTTTCTCTTCTTGTAAGCTTGTGCTTACTTCAGCTCTTTTGATTGTATGTATTTTAATATGTTAATTAGCTTTACTTTATTATCCCATCACATTTTAAGCATCGATTTGTCTACCCCTTAAAATGTAAGCATAATGAGTTTTTTATTAGCTATTGTTTAGATACTCAACTTAAATTAATCCCTTTGTATTGTGAAACTGTTTGTGCTGCATTACAATGAGTGCTTATCCTACATGACTTGAGAGTACATGTCATCAAAAAAAATTTAGCAACAGATTTAAAAATGCTTCCTTCTTATTCCTCTCCTGTATTGTCAATACTGCAGATATTGTCGGGTAAGGACAGCTTTCACCCTAGTGCCCATTAATGTCTGCCTTTCTTCCAGAGTAACACCCTGGTTACACGAAGCACATCTTTGGAGGTCAATGAATCCACTTACTAAATGGAGGCATCTGGATTTGCTCATAAACACTGATAGCATATATGAAATTTTAATGCCATAGTTTAACATGAGACAATATTTTTAAAGTACTTAAACAAGTCTCCAAATGTACATCTCATTCATCCTGAAAAAAAAAGTCAGACTGCTCCATTAGAATTGTCTGAACACATTAAAAGCAGCTTCCCTGCCTGCCCTATTACCATCCCTCAAACAGACTAACAAGCGGACAAGAAGTGGAAGAAATAGATTTTCCAGCATACACTGAAAATAAACACTCTTGGAGTATCACAGCTCAGAGGAAAAGAATAAATGACCAAGCAAAATGTTTTTGCTCCTGTGAGTGTGATAAACTACATTATCTCATCTAGTGCAAACTAATGGAAAACACAACTAAACAAAAACGCGGTGGCTTTCTAGTTTATGGATACCCAAACCCAATGGCAGCACTTTTAAGTATACCAAGCAAAGGGTTATAGTTCTGTAGGCTGGTTATTGGTGAAAAGTGTGAACTGCTAAATCCATATTCAGCTCTAGTTGAAGTCTGTGCGGTTGTTGTGTGCAGGCCACGGTGCATCACATTCCAGTATTCCTGCTTGAAGAAATAATAGATGTAGGCTGTAAGTAGCTGGGGCAGTAAAAAGTCATCATTTTCTCAGAAAAAGTAATGCTAAACAAGATCCAATCCAAAGTGCCAGGTTGCAGAAGTCTGGATGACAAAAGGTGGAATATGCATTTAATTCAGAGAAGAAACCACTGTCAGTGGTCGCTGAACCTCGCATCAGTGTCGCTGCTTCTAGCTTCAAGCACCTGTTTGCACTTTATATGCTCTTCTGTATTCACACAGATCAGCGCAAATAGAAAGCTGTTTTTTTCTGTAAGGATCACAGACTTAATACACTGAAAGTGTTCATCTCAAGAGGGAAAAAATATCCACAGTAACTTCCTCCTACTATTTTTTTTTCATATTAATCTCCTGGGTCCTCAGCTCTGTGAGGAAGGCCTGCTGAGAAAGGTACCGCTGAGAACACAGCCACTTTCTTCAGCCAAATTACTATTTTCTCCTTGATGATAATACAACCAAGGAAAATTCTCTAACACATGCGAACTGCATCCCTTTATATGTAAATATTAGGTGTAAAATGTTGAATTTTTTTTTGAAGTATGAGCACGGCCATATTCAGGCCAACAGTAACAGTCTGTGCTGTTCCCAGTTGCGGTCCGCTTCAGAAATCTGGCGTAGGGGCAAGACCTCTCCAGTAATTTGTCCTATGTTTTACTAGGTGTACATTTAGCTCTTCAATAAAGGGAAATAGGGAGATGACCCAGAAAAAGCTATATGATAGATATAGGAGGAGTCCCTGAGGCGGGCAGGCAGAAGCTCTGAAATGTGCTCAGCTCTTTGCAATGGCTGAGGTGTTGCTGCCCCCATGTGTCTGCCAGCTCCAACTCACTCCTCTGGCTTCGTTTTTAATCTCTCAACACAGCAGGTTTTTGCCAGGCAGCTTTGTTCCAAAGTTCTTTTAAATCACCTTTCATTCTTCACCATCACCTCCAAAAAAACCCAAAATCTTTTCATATATTTATTTGATTATCCTTGCAAATTCAAAAGGAAAGAATTTAATTTTACAGTGTTAGCTGTCAATCAGTAATCCTTTTTATTACATTATAGGCTGAATGTCATACCGAATGTCAACAGTAGAATAATTTTGTCTGTATTTGAACAAGGTACATGAGTCTGACCTACACTGACTGAGCATCTCTTGAAGTACTTCATGCCTCTTCTTTCAAGAGAAGTCTTGAATAACCTATATTATTTACATTAAACTCCCAAGTCAGGAACAGAAGACCTATATTTCCATTGCTAATGTATCACATTTTTAAATAATTCATATTTATTTTAGTGCCAGATAACAAAAAGATAAAATCAGAACACAGATAGTTGCAGTTAGAAGCAAATAGCAGCACCAGAGTATGTTTTGTCTCAAACGTAATGATAAAATGTAGATTGGGATGAAGGCACCCAAGTATGTAAGGTGTCTAAAGAGGTAAATAGGTGCCTAAACACCTCTGATGACCTATGTCAAGGCATCTATCTACACTAGTAAGCACACTCTCAAAGCCAGACTTTCCCACTACCCCCACTGTATATCCTCAAGCCTGCGTTAAAAAGCTCTGAACCTTCTGGGTGGAAGAGAGCCGCACCTCCACTTGATGCTTTTCTGCCTAGTGTGTGCTGCAGGAAATACAGCAAATTTAGTTCTTCCAAAGTACATTGCGGAATTTGAGGCTAAGACACTGCTGGGCCACAAGAAGAAAGAAATTAGGAGCTTTGCCTAGGACACATAGGTGTGCTTCTCAGTGTATACGTACTGTCTGTATCTGAGGTGTACAACCCTCAGTCTCACTTTCAGCTGGATTTCTTCTACTAGAGCTCTCATTTAGGCCCAGCTAACATTCCTGAGTGTCCAAACCCCTAGAAATTTAAGATTTTGCCACTCAGCAATTGGGAAGTGACATGACTAATGCTATCACCACAGCTAAGAAGCTGCTGAGAGGCTTAGCTTACGCCAAAACCCCGATACCCAAAGATGAAGGAGCCTGCCTAGTTCCCAGGGCAGAGCCTGACTCAGTGTTTTGACTCCTACCATACTCTTCTTTCACGTTTCCATGTAAGCCGCTTCTCCCCTCCAGTTCTCTACATGCAAATCCCCAATCTGCTGGAGTCCCTGCATGGCACAGGGGCACATTCCCCAATGCAAAGCCGAGCTCAGGGCCCTCCGTTGTCACCTGGCAAGCAAGGGCAGGGACTTAAAAAACAACTCAGATATTCCAGGTAAGTGTTCTGGCTATCGTATAGTTTGTCTGTCTTATTTTTCCTGTTTTTTGTTTTTTGTTTTCTTTTCACCAGAAGAAAATCTGCCTAAGAAAATGATCTGGTTTAAGTGCTTAACGCGAAAAGAATAGCTCAGGATTCTCAAGAAAGGAACCTGCTTCTCAAATAGTTATATGTCAAAACGTCTCATATTTTCCACATGCCATTCCCACTGAAACTGTCAGTTTTCATGCTTAATCCTGGGCTAGTTTAGGTGGTCGTCCCCATGCCTTGGGTTTCTGAGTCCCCTTTTCTTGGGTGCCTACTCTCCACAGACATTTTTGAGAGGCCTGGGACCTAAACTTGAGACTATGGCCCTGCAATGTGCTCTGGGATTTTTAAACCTTTCCGTAACTGCATATTTATAAATGCACATTGTGAATAGGAACTAGCAAATAAAAAGGCACCCTAAACAATTTAAATTTATCAACTAAAAAAGGTAGCACTTAACATAGTCGACAGACTATAATGCTAGGGAAAAAAAAAAAAACCCTAAGAAATCGAGTGGAATTATTTTCCAAAATATTCCATTAATTCACCATGTAACTGGATTTTTCCAGTGGACAAATGTCCTTTCCTAGACACAGATGGCCCTGTAGAAAAGGCTACGCCCTCCCTGTTGAAGGTTGCCTGTGCCTCTGATTTGCCAGTTCATGTGAACTCTCTCCAACTCTTCCCACTCTTTTGAGGGTTGTAAATACTATATGAGAAAGAAGAGAGGACAAATAAGACATTTTGAAAAGTAGCTAAAAATTATCTTTTCCAGGGGATAGCTATACAAAAAAAAAAAAAAAAAGGTGCCAATACTGCTATTGAAGTTCATCTGGTAGCTACTAAAATAACTAAACCACAGAAGTGTGCAAATTCATTTCCTTTCCAGCAGGAACAGCTTAGTCCCTAATTTCAGCTTAACTTTTCATGTCTTCACAATTTATGTGAGGTAAATTTGCCTGTTCTTGTCTATAATTTTTATTTCTAACCAAAGAGATACCTAGTACTTTTGTAATTAGGAGTGTCGACCTGAAGTTATCAGTCATCAGCTTAATGTCACCGTCTCCCTTATCCTTCAGATATAAGTTATTTGCAAATTAAAATCACCTTCACACAGAAACAGCCTCAAAGTTGATATAAATACAGACCAGCTTCTAGTTTCTCCAAAGTTGATTATAAATGAATATCAACATAGCTTTTACCTGCATAAAATTAAACAGACTGCAATCCTTAATAAATAATGCTGGTGCAAAACACAAGCACATAAGCCAGTTTCCTTAAAAAACAAATGAAGCCACCATTTCAGCCTTCATGGCAATAGGATTTTTTTCCCAGGAGCTAGCATTTCATCCAGGGTGCTTAGTTTTTTGAAGATAGAAAAGAAGAAGAGAAGATGTTTCACTCTTCTGAAAGCATACTTAATTATTGAAAGGAAACTACTCTGGGTTTGTGTTTTAAATCAACAATGATTTTGTCTTAGAAAGAACACAAGCTAGAATACTGTCACTGACCTATCACTACTCAATAACTTCTGAGCTATTTTGACATCAGTGATTGTTACTTCAGTCTCAAATTTAGATCTCAAAATTCAGAAGGCACTTGAAGTAAGATTCATCTCACCAAGCAGCGGCTGCCAGTCTCATGCTCTAGGTTCCCTCTATAAACACGAGAAAGATGTCTCCGGACTGCAAGTCATCTCACCCTAACACAGACAGGATGAATCATCCTTTAGAAGAGCCCATCTTTCTCTAGTGACAAGTGAAGGATCAGCTAGCTAAGACCAGACACTAAACTAATGTTTCAATATTAAAGTGAGCTCAGGTGAATCTCATAGATGGTGAACTAAAACAAAATACACTTCCATTTCTCATTCTAGTATATAGAAGTGGGGAGCGGAGGGTTTAATAGTAGGTCCATTCTCTTTAAAAAGTCAACTGAAAATCTGGAGAAACAGAAATTGAGAAATCAGTTACAACTTACCGCTGCAAGCTAGCACGCAGAGGTGCCAAACACCTGCAGTTCCTGTTTACTCAAAACATAATTCTGGATTCTTCTAACTTCTGGGTTACGGTTTCTAACTCTAGAATGGAATAAAAGATGCAGTCACAATTTCAGGCGGTCTGTCACACCTCTGTGTGGTACAGAAAAGACAAAACCATACGGTTTAACAATTCTCTGGACCTAAAATAAGTTCTTTAGTTACCTGCCATACAACTATATTTTAACATTTAAACCTGTCAGTCTAATTGCAATGTATGCTGCAGTCTGCAGTATTTTTCATAATATACCTCTTAACCTTCATCAACTATCAAATTTTCATCCTAACTCAACTATATGCACTTCTACTGTACCACTTTCACATAAGACTCAAGATTTTTGTTTTTCATTTTACACCCAGGATATATTTCCATTGCTAATTAGATGCAATTTCTTTTCTTTCCCAGATGATTTTCCACTTATTTTTAAGAATCAAAATAGCATACTATATTTCTTCTCTTAGAATGTGTTTTATTAAGCTCAGTGAATGTCGGAGCAGACCTAAAGTCATTTGTCTAAAAACCTATTCCACATGTGTTCCAGGAGAATGATGTTTAGATCAATTTATAATAAAGCATAATATTACCCATCAAATAATTAATTTAAGGCTAACACGTGGTGTAAGAAATCCTTATTCATAAAGTGAAAAAGAATTCAAAATTTTAACATCTCTATTATTATTTATGTAAAAAAAAGCATCTAGATGGCCCCCTATGTCCAATTATGCTAGACACCCTTGACAGAGGAAGAGAAAGTCCTTGTCCCCAGTAGCTGGGTAATGTCCCAAATAACGGATAAGACAGATAAAGTGACAGGTAGGGAGAAAGCTGTATGATAGATCAGTTGTCCAGCTGAGAACAGAAACCTCCTCCTCCCTTCCCAGTCCTCCATTAATCTGATCATCAAAGAGTTCAGCCATCAGATAGTTCACAAAGGCCTGAGTCTTGCAGCTGTTTGAAGTAAACAATATTCTATTTACAAGAATTTCAAATGGCCATTTATATCTGTTTTTAAGATATAGTATCTATAGAGACAGAGATAGAGACAGACAGAGACAGAGACAGAGACATAGAGATAGAGATAGAGATAGAGATAGAGATAGAGATAGAGATAGAGATAGAGATAGAGATAGAGATATCACCATCTAATTAAGCTTCACGGAGTGCCTGCCAAGTAGTGAACTGGCCATCAGAAGACTTGCCGAGGCTTGTCCAAGGTCACAGAGAACTGGCATCAGAATTTAAAGCTTAATAGGCACTCGAGGAGCAGTCAAGTCATGTAGGAATTAACACCATGTATATACTACAAAATAATGCCAGAACAAACCTTTAGCATAGATATGCTTAAACGGGTACAAACTTTGTAATTCAGTTACTAACCTACACTAGAGAATTTAAGGGAATATTGAATTCACTGAAGTTCATTAGTTGTTTGTAACAGTTTACATCCTTCGTGTGTTAGTCTGCTACTTCCTTTCAATAATCACAGCATAGGTTTTGGCAGTATTAGAGACAGACAGCTGATATTTTTTTCAAGTGTAATCCTGATTCCTTGGTCCATCCAAACTCATATTTATTTTATTCGTAAAGAAAATCAGTTAATTAAAGCATTCATGCTTTATAGATATCCCTTTAATATAGCCTTATGAGGGCCAGATACTACTATTTTTGTAGGAAATACCTTTTAGAGCTTGAATAACTGACAGTAAGTAACCCTATTGCCTGTAGAGAAGAATAGACTTGTAAAAAACTAGTATTTCTCTCAGAGGTAGGAGAGGCAGTTTAAATAGTTTCTTTATCACTCTCCCTAAAGCACTGGAGGGCACAGCTCCAATCTGCTCATTAGCCGATCAAACGCCTGCTCACGACCGTCACTGACGTCTGCCTCACACTAGGCTGGAAGTGGAAATTGCTTTCCTTCATGCTATTACAAGAGGCAGTTTGGTCCCGTTGCAGAAAGTGAAGAAGAATTTTTGTGTCACGCATACCAGGACGGCTAAATCTTGCGCTCCACAACTTCAAGTGAACTGTTTCTTCTTATTAATTCCTGTACACGTCCAGCAAGAGATCACGCCAATGTTTAATGAAATCAGCGTACTTTTTACACTTTTTCTGCTGAAAAATCTCTAATCACCAACATCTCCTATAACAGTTTTGGAAGGTCAGAGCAGCAACTCAAGAATTTTCTCATTTCTAAATCTTTCCATGCTTGAGACATTTTAGTCAAAATAGGTATTATTTTTTCCTTCTGTGGATCCACGGCATTCTGCCTTTCCCTATATCTTGTTTTGCCAACACCCTGTTGAAATATTTTCCCAGCTAGAATAATTTTTACCAGATTCTCCAGCAACAGTAATGTTTTATAAGGGAGGCTTAAAACAGGAGAGCAGAAACCACATATCTAGAACATACAGTACTAACATATGTCTTTACGTAAGTTAACACACCATGTATAAGAAAATATACCTTCAATGAGATACTGCGTTAATGGTTGCCATCCATATATGTATGTATTTGTGCATGTAAAGTTTGAATTTGTTCTAATACATCCTATACTGGTATTTTGCTTCACGTTCTCTTGATTTTCAATGATACTTAGTTAACAAAATGAGTAGCAATTTATTCATACTGTAGACAGCCGAAAAAATGTCCTTATGCCAGGAATATTCATTTCTTCAACTTGACTATTGTCTCTGTTAGGTGCTGCTATAAATCTCACTATTATCTCCTTCCACTTAAGTACCAACTATTTTCATAGAAGAGCAGCCTATTTTTAGCACACAAAGTGCAAACCTTACCAAACTTAACTTCTACATTATGTTTAGATTTCATAAATCTTCAGCAGCTACTGCTTAAACCCTGCGTTATGAATCATCCTTTTAAAACTCGTTTCTCTTGAATTACAGTAACTGACATGTTTTGTGTATACTTAATATATTTAATTTTACCTCTTGCCTTCAAAAGCAAACAGTTCCTTTATCAAGCATACAGGAGAAAATTTGGATCCATCATGGTCTGCAAATCAAATATAGAAACGGATAACAGTTTTGACATATCTGCCAACCACAACTGAAACTTGTTCCCGTAATACCTTTTAAAATAGTTCCTGTGTTTAAAATTCTTGAAGGAAAAACATTTTTGAAAGAGAAATACAAAGGTTAATTAATGCGTAATAATTTGAAAACAGATTTTTTATGTCTAGCTAAAAGCATTGGGTTAAGGACATGGAAAGTCATGTTATCTTGGTGAAAATACGTAATTATTGTTTAAACGAACTTCTGATTAAAATCAGATAATAGGAAAGGCCTGTTTTTCAGACATCTTTTTTCAAGTCCAAGTAGAATTGAAATTTCCAATTAAACAGAGGGGTAACCAATAAAAAGATAATAACTACATTCATAAAACTAATTAGAAAATTATTTTAATATTACTGCATGTCATATTCAGCTTATTATTTCTTTAATTGTTTGTATACTCTATTAAGAAGTAATTTGCTGGAAAATTATAAAAACAAATAAAAAGAATACTTCCCACTATTTAAAAATTCTGAACTAGAATAATGGGAAAATACTAGTGTTTCTTCTACTGTCATTATATCAGAAAAACTTCTGGGACACCCTTAGTTGGTCCCACTGGACTTTTCTTTATCTTCATTCCCCTATATTCTCATCTACGAACTTTCCAATTTAATTCTTCTAAGGATGCTATGGTACTAGATTAAGTGCATGAAGATAAGACTGAATACTCCATGTTACATGAATTAAAAAAATAATAGTCACATCTCCATCAGTCTAAACCCTTGTTCTCTCATTTGAAAAAATCCTTTTGGTAATAATAGCTACTGAAAACGTGGTAAGAAAGTAATAGTTTGAGTAAATCAACTAAATAAAGAACTATCAAATTTTAAAATCTGGGGGCATTTTCTTGTCTCAAGGAAAGATAGTGTGCTATTGCAATAACAGCTAGAAATTGCAATTCCACCTAACTCATACAAGGATTTAGCATTGTTGCATTCAGCCTATGTGAATTAGGAAAGCATTAACCAAGCATAGAGTGGATTAGGATAAATACTATTCAAAAACTAGAATGCAGTCTTGGTTTTACTGTCTGGACAGAAATGGGTATCTTAATTACATATTATTTCCCCACATTCTGTCTTTCAAATTTATCCCACTCTTCTTTATTCCTTAAAAAAAAAAAAAGCATATTCTCATCTGCTTCTTGCCATCGGTCCATCCATGCTACCGTGGATTTCCGCAGGTTTCATAAGTACTGATTTTTTGTTCCCATGTCTAAGTTTGCCTTGTAAGTGCCCTGCTGTATCTTCCCATTATATAACTCCAGTCTCTTGTGATTTCTGCTTTCTTGTTTTGTTATTGAACTACTTCAAAGAAGCTTATAATTTTATCATTATTTTAAGGCAACTCCCATACATCCCAAAAAAGTAAGACATGGAACAAAAAGAGCAACGGTGGGAACTGATAATTGATAATCTTTCACTCCCCTTTAAACATGTAAAAACACATTAAGCTAGTAAGATTAGCTTTAAAAGAGTTTCCATCAGATTTGTCACCCAAAAGTGAAATTACCAGTGTTTTCTTGCCTATATGTGTGAATGCTATATGTAAAACATGTATCCATCTGTATTCATGCTGGTATGTCGGGCTTCATGTCTGACTCAGCTTCAAACTGAATAGGAAATTCACAGAGCCACGCTAGCTGTAACCCTACCATAGGGCCGGGGTGTTTGCCAGGCCTTTGGGGAAGGGAACCTGAAACCCTATTTTTCTCCTCCATAAACTCACAACTACGCTGTAGGAGGTTTAGGAAGAAAAGAAAAAAGTGGAGAAGTAAATTGGTCTACAGTACCTCCGAGGTGAGACTTACAGTTGTCGGTCACTTCCACAGAATCTACTGCGTACACAAGCTTTCCCAGTGAGAAGCAGAGATGCTCATATCCCAAAAGAAGAAGCCGTAAGTTTCTTTATCCGAGTCCACTAACTGACTTGAAGACAAGAACGGAGAGCGTAAACTTTGTGCTGTATTGGGAATCAATAGACTCCTCAGCTTACATGGTTTGTTATCTGAAGCCCGTTTGCCGAATGTCTGAGCAGCTACATATTGGATTAATTGTTTCCCTTTTTTTTAGGATCAATGTTTAGAAAAACAATGCAACATGTTTACAAGTATTCATCAGATAGCAATGAAATCAGGTAACAATGCAGGCCCAATGATTACTGGAAAGTCAGCCACGTTTCTCGCCTAGATTAACAGTATCCTGAATTCAATTATATCAAAATTAGTAAGATGTAAATCTATATCACAAAAGCTTGGTTTTCATCAGAGAAGGCAGGAGGTAGTTCATCAGTATCAGTGCTGTTTCAGTGTATCCAGTGGTTTAAAATGCAAAGATCCCCAGGCACTCTCTAGGGTAGATGTACTTGGAAACTCAGAAAGCTTTACTAAAAATACAGATTTAACACTCTCTGGCAGTTTTCAAGAATTTTGCATAGCGGAAAGGTTTCCTGAAGCTTAGGAAGATTATATGCTGTTTTAGTGTGAAAGGCATAGCTACTTCTTGTGAAGCACTGACAATCCCAGAAGGAGACTTAGTTATTCTTGTCTCTCCTTTACAATCCTTAAGCAAAGCTCTGATTCAGATAGCACATTATACTCCTTTCTGTCTAGTTCCTTTAATACCTAGTATCTGTCTAGTATCTGTTTCTGAACCATGAACAAACTGAATTCAGGAACAGGAGATCTTTCACCTAGTAACTGCAATCATGAAACCCAAAAAGTAGAGGCACACGTGGCTCCAAGAGCCAAGTGGCGTCTTATTACAGACTACTGAACAATAAAGCTGTTTTCCAGCATAGTGAATCAAGAAATGTTTTCCTCCAATTTTCCAAGAAAATGCAATTTTTGCAAAAATTTAACATTGGTACATACGGATGATTTTCACTGTTTATAATACTGGTTTTAGTTGTCAAGACTGGATGGGGGGCGAGGGGGAGGGAGGGGGCTCACAAATTCTTCCTCCCACGTTGTGAGGTTCTAACCCTGACATTTATTCATTCAATGGCTGGAAACCTTCTTGTCATTGCCCGGTTCACTCTTCCGTCTCATTAAGCATAGCCAGCAGATCCACAGTTCTCCATATAATACAACTCTCCACATAACAGATATCTTTGACTCGCTTGCCCCTCAGCCTGGGATTGCATATTCCATGCTTAGAGAAGCTATGAATGTGATCGGCTGGCCCCTCCAAGCTCTTAGGAGCTCTTCTTCTACTTTGGACATGACTTCCATGTGCCCTTTCCAAATACAAATCCTGGCTTTGCCTTTATTTCAACATCATCGTCTTTGCTGATAATGCAGGCAATTTACTTAGTTTGGTACTCTCCTGGCTGCATTTAATAGCCTTAATTCTATTCTCTTTTTTGATGTATCTGTATCTAAAGAATAATCTTCAGTGCTATTTATAACAACTACATGCTATTAGCTCATTAGTGACAATTAGCTAATAGCTAATAATGCCTAATAGCTTATAATATGAGTGGCAGCCTATGATACCTTTCTAGTGTTAGTCATACAATTCAGCACAGTGTAATGATTTGGGTGGAGGAAGGGGCTGGACATACAATTGCATGTTTTATAGATATACCAGATAGATCTACAAAATCAAATTTTGTTTTCCGCTGTTTGCAGTCAGCACTTGCCACCCCCCCAGCACAGTCTTCTATACAATTTTGATTTGGTGAAATCTGTATACAAGTAGGAAGGTAGAAAGGGGAGAATTCTGCTAATGTGATAATGTGATGTAACCCATGGACTCACGCAGCTTTTGGTCGGATATCGTATGTCCCGTTGCGCTGCTTGTACAAGCATCAGGTTTTGGCAAGACGGAAACAGACCCAGTAAATTATCCCTTGGTTTCTGTACAGGTTTGGGAATATTCATGCATGTCACACAGCATATTTACACTCCCAACAGTGTTTGCACAATAATAGAGACTGTATCATTAGCGGAATCCAAATCACTCATTTGCTAGCTAGGTGTCCAACATCTCATTATATCTCTGTTTAAATTAAAACGCTAACAGGAAGCGTCACACTAGTTCTTCCTTCCAAAAGTATGGTCTCCACCAAAACCCTCCTTCAGACCCATTTTGAAATATGGTCTCCCAAGGCTGAAACGGGAACGGGAAGGACGCGGACGCCACAACCAGCACGCTGCTGCACCAGCACCACTGCGGCACCAAGCGGACGCCC